AATGGAACAGTTCTGCTCCGTAACCTCTGAGTCACCATGGATCAGAGTCAGTGTCACAGCAACAGGTTGGGTTTACATGTACATACATATGCTGTGTGCACATCTGCTTCTGACACAGTGACGGCAGCAATGTGCTTGAGCGTATCAGAGGTGGTGAGGATGGTGCAGGCTCATACCTGCTGTTCACAGAGTCGCTATGAGTCACAGGCGACTCGATGGCACTTAACAACAACAACAATAATCTACCTTAATCTACATATGAGAAAGCGAAGACCAAGAGAGTGACTAAACGATAAACAGGAGTGAAATGTTAACCATGAAGGCCGTGAAACCTAAGTAAAGAATGTATTTTAGGGAGTTCTGGTGGCCTAGTGGCAAGAAGCTGCACTGCAATCCCGAAGGCATGTGATTCAAATCCATCAGATGCTTTGCTGGAGGAGGGGTAATCTCCTGTGCCAGTTACATCTGATTTGATAATACACAAGGGGAAAAAAAGACTATATTTTGAATAGTGTAATGAAAGTCTGGACGATTGCTGTTGTGTGTCATCCTGTCAGAGCCGACCCTCTGGTGGGTCACATGGGAGGAGACTGCCCATCTTTCTCCTGCAGAGCAGCTGGTGGACTCTGTGTGCCTTCAGGACTGCAGTTCAGCTTCTTACCACTAAGTCTGGGTTAAGGGTATATAATGCTCTATTTTGGCAACTTTTCTGGAACTTTGAAATTATTGTAATATAAAGCGTTGAAAAAATGCAAAACAGAACTCAAGGGAGCAATCAGTCCACAGAACTAAAGACCATATGAACCTCACTCAGTCCATGTCACTCCAGGGGGCGGGGGCAGGAAGGGAGAAATATGTAGCATAAAAAAATCAAACCCACAAAGGGGAATCAGAGCTACTGGCTGGACAGGAACTGGAAGAGCCCTGAGACTGTGGCCTAGGACACCTTCAGTCCTGGAGCAAGGGCCACCGAGGGACCCCCTCTCAGTCAAAGAACAGAGCCCCATACCATCAACACCTGAGAACAGTCACCAGGTGAGATCAAAAGGACAACATGAGCCAGTGACCCAGGGGAAGGCAGTGGGGGGCAGGGAACTCAGAGAAAGGAAACAGCACCAGAGGAAGTGGGCAGAGGGCAGTGCCAGGAGACACTGCATGCGGAACTATCCACCAGGAAGCTGGTTTGTTCTGTAAACTCACCTGGTGCGCACACACGCACAGACCTTCTAGTCGCTCTGCATTTATCCCTGAAGCTCTGTTCTGAGGTTTTCCTCTCCAAGCTCTACTTTTCTGGGCGGGTGTGGAGGACGACTCAGAGGCTGCAGAGATATAATCGAGTGTGGCTCCATGCCTGTCCCTCCCTCCCTCTCTGGGGTCCTGTAGACTCAGGTGCAAGGGTCCACTGATCCCCTGAGCTAACTGCTCCCCTGAGTTATCATCTGTGTTTCCTCCAACATTTTCCTTTGCAACAATTTCAAATGCACAGGGAAGGTGTGGAAACAGAGCATTATCTACCCTGAACCCAGACTTCCAGCTGAGACCAGAGAACACATTAGACAGACACCATGACACGGCTGATCTAGCATGTACTTGGGGCATATGTACACACATGCACCCCCAAACATGCACATCTGCTGACCAATGTCCAAATGCTGGCTCAGGTTGGCAGGCTATGCAGACGACAGAAAGAGGCCCAGCAGAAGGAAAACCCGTGACCAGAGAGCTACTAAGACTGTCCTGGTTTTTACTGAATAAGGTGAAGCATAAAAGGGCATACAAACAGGTGCGATACTGTACAAGTTATGTCTCACTCCCGATGGGAAACGCCGGCAGCCGGAGATCTTCTCTCACTCACGCTCCCCTCGATCCTCTGTGACTCTGAGGTCTGCTCCCAGCTGCCAGGGGTGCCCTGGCTCCCCTTCATCCCGTGGCAATGTGCAGGACGGAGTCCCACTGGGACCCCTTGAGCTCGGAGTGATACTTGGTTTTGCTCAGTTTCATGATGGAGAAAAGCTGCTCGCAGACGTAGGTGCTCCCGAACATGGACAGGATCTTGGCACAGTGGTGCCTGTACTTGGGGTAGCTGCTCCAGAGGTGCCTGCAGAAGTCGGGGACGCCCACCTTGTCGTACTTGGCCTTGAGCGCCGTGTTGCACTGCAGGTCGATGAGCTCCAGCTGCAGCTCCTCCTGCACCCCGTCGATCTTCACCGAGAACGGGGAGCTGAACAGGGTCAGTTCGCTCTCGTAGAGCTTGAAGTCGGACAGCCGGCTCTGGAACTCCGCCTTCAGCTCGGCGATTTTGGGGATGTAGTTCAGGCCGTCGCCCTCGTCCCCCGAGGACACGGATTTCAGGGTGGGAAAGTGGGCCAGGTTGTTCCTCGCCAGATGCGTCTCCCAAAGGCACAGTTTGGCGAGGAAGGCCCGGATGACGTCATACATCTGCGTGACGATCTGCGCGTGCCCTTGGAGCGACATGCTCAGCGTGTTTAAGTGCATGGTCAGGTCCACGAGGAAGGCCAGGTCTTTGATCCAGTCCCTGGAGCTCAGCTGGGGCACAGGCTTCCCTTTGGAGAGCAGGAAGGAGTCAATCTCTTTCAAGGACTCGAAAAACTTCCTGAGCACCAGGCCGCGGCCGAGCCACTTGACGTCGGTGTGGTAGAGCAGGCTGCCGTACTGGCTGTCCAGTTCATAGAGCAGCGTGGTGAAGCCCCGGTGGTTGAGCCCCCGCGAGCATATCCAGTGGACCGAGTCCACCACCACGTCCATGACGTGGTCCATCTTCAGCTTCTGCGCGCACAGGGTCTCCTGGTGGATAATGCAGCACACCGACTTGAGGGCGGAGCCCTTGCACACCGTGGCCACCTTGGCCTTGAGCTTTGTCACCAGCCCGTCCTGGCCGTTGACCATGGCGGGAGAGCCGGTGGAGGCCACGCTCACCAGCTTCGACCAGTCGATGTGGAACTTTTTCAGGCTCTTCTCAACACGCAGAAAGATCTCGTTTCCGGACTTGGTCCCCGTCATGGGCACCGTATCCAGGAGCTCCTCGGACACTTCGAAGTTGTCGTCCACGCCGCGGATGAAGAGGGCCAGCTGGGTGGTGTTGTTGGTGTCTGTGATCTCGTCGATGGCGATCGAGTAGGCCACGAAGGAGCGCAGCTTCTCCCGGAGCTTCTCCCACAGGCTCCATGCCACGTCGTCAGCCGGCTGGGTGCTGGCCTTCGCTGGGGGGCCCTGCTCCGGGCCCGCAGCCCCCGCCAGGTGCTCGGCGAGCCCCTCCTTGAGCTCCTGCAGCTTGCGCTCACGTGCCTGCTCCGTGTACTGGTCGAAGCGCTTGCCGTGGTTGGTCTGGTAGTGGCGCCTCAGGTTGTACTCCTTGGACACCGACATGCTCTGCTTACAGATGAGGCAGGTGGGGACGCTCTGCACCTCCACGAAGAAGTAGGCGCGCTCCCACTTCTCCTGGAACATGCGGCCCTCCTGGTCTATCTTGCGCTTTCCCACTTTTGACAGAGACATGGGGACAAGACAGAGTTCACTGTTCTCGTAGCTCTATGGTCAGAGAAACGAGAGACTGCTCCCAGCCTGCTGACCACCACGAGGGACGGGGTGGCGGGGCAGGCTGGTCTGGGAGGGACAGAGGGCAGCTGCCACCCTGCTCAAGCTGTGGTCAGCTCGTCACACTGCTAACAAAGGAAACCCAGAGAGCTGGATTCTCAGGAAAAAGGGCCTGGCTTGTCAACATTGGCCACCATTTCTGTTTTCAGAAAATGAATGCGCCTAACTCAAGACATCCTGGGGGAGGTCCAGGGAGGGCCGTCTGAGGGCCATCTGCCATGTCTGGTTTAAACAGCAATGGTGTGGCAGCCTCTCTACATTTTAGCATATCTGTGGTGGCCTCCTGGTAAGAAGCTGTGCTGCAATCCTGAAGGCACACAGTTCAAATCCACCAGCTGCTCCATGGGAAAAAGACAGATAATCTCCTCTATAAGAGGCGATTAACTGCCTCTAAAACCCACCAGAGGGTCAGCTATGGGTCACCTCTGACTCGACCGCATGCAGCAACTCATCTAAAGGAGCCTTGATGGCTCAGTGGAGTAAGAGATAGGCTCCTAAACAAAAGGTTGGCAGTTCAAACCCACCCGTTACTCCATGGGAGAAAGTTAATAGTGGTCTGTTCTCTGGAAAGATTTACAGCCTTGGGGGGCCCTCTGTCCCCCAGGGTTGGTATATGTCAGAATCAATTCAACGGCAGTGGGGTTTTTTATTCTTAAGATAATTTGGAAAGTTGAAGGGACAAGCACAAAAGGCTTGGTTTCTTTGTGACTCATGGGACACTCTGGCCTGGCCACAGCCCCGCACGGCTCCTATGGACATGGGCTGGACTGGAAGGTGATGGCGCTTTAGGCTCAAAGGCCATGACTGAGGTGTGGGTCACCTGCCCTTTGGGACACGGAGGGGAGGTCAACGTGCACTCTGAAGGAAAAACGCAAGCAAAGCCCCAGGTCAGTGAGGCCACCGTGGTTGTCTGGGGCCCAGGATGGAAACAGGAAGTGTCTTAAAAATAGTCCTGGGGCTGATGGAAATGGTTTCAAAGGAGACTGTGGCAACAGTTGCACAATTCTGTAAATTTATTCAAGAGCATTACTGAAAACCACTCAACCCGAGTGAGTTTCATAAGATGGGAGCTGTCTGTCCTTCAACTAACTCACTGGAAATGAACATTCAGCAACCACGGGAGTTTAGGAACAACCAGCATTTAAAGTCAAAACAAAACAAAAACCTTCAGGTTTTAAAACTGATGTGAGGAAGCTAGCCAGGGACTCAGCTCTTGAGAACATCTCTCCCCAGCTCTGTCTGCTGGGTCCACCCTGGACTACACTGACTTCCATGCAAGAGTCCAATGTAGATGGTAAAAACAGTTCACGGACTCCTTAGAGTACTCAGCCGTCCAAGATGAAAAGGGCAGCATGTGTTCAGGGACAAAGCCCAGAAGGTGGGAAGGGGTTGACTAGAAGGATGAATGGAAATGGGGGGAACAGGGAGGAAGTGGGAAGAAGGCGGCTACACTGTGAGTACTGTAATCAATGTCATAACAGAAGATCTCCATGAAGGGTTGAACGGGGATACAATTTGCACACTTCCACTCAAACCACAACAAAAAGTTAAAATAAAATAATAATTATAATAATAATAATAAAAATATTTACAAATCCACCAGATGCTCTGCTGGAGAAGGAGGGGCAATCTCCTCCTGTACCAGTCAGATCTGATTTGACGGTACACACACACAAAAATAATTTAAAAAAATATTTAACAAGAAGAGTGGCTGGGCACTGGTATAGATGATAACTTCGGCACTGGATTGGATTCTAGGGACCCCCTTTTTGGATGTGAAGGGTGAGGTCAGAGGGCCTGAAGTGGGGGCTGGGTGGCCAGGCTAACACTGTTTCCCAGGTGACCCAGAGCGCTGAGTACTGTACCTGGAGCACCGTGGCCACAAGGGGGGGAAGCCCCTGCTGGAACAAATAAGGTTTCCCAGGACAGACTGCTGTTGTGTGCCACTGAGTTGGAAGTGACCCATAGCTGACCCTCTAGAGGGTTCTCAGAGGTTGAAAATCACATAGGAGAAGACTGTCCATTTTTCTCACACAGAGGAGCTGGTGGGTTTGAACTGCATGCATTTGTGTTGGCAGTACAACTCCTTACCATTAGGCCACCAGAGTATAAGAAGAACACAACTGGCAAGCTCTGGTGGCCTAGTGGCAAAAAGCTGAACTGCAATCCCAGAGGTGAGCAGTTTGAATCCACCAGATGCTCTGCTGGAGAAGGAGGGATAATCTCCTCCTGTACCTGTCAGATCTGATTTGACGGTACACGCACACAAAAAAATAATAAAAATAAGATTTTTTTTTAAAAATAAGAACACAATGTCTGGTTAATAAGATTTAAACAACAAGATCACAGGACCTCATAGTCTGCAAGGGAAAATGAAGACCTTCCATGAGGAGTTAGGGCTCCAGTAGCAAAGGCCTACGGTGATGACCGACTGAGACACTACTCAACACAGAAGGCTCTGGAACATGCTTGCCATGCACAATACTCACCATTGCTAAGCTCGACTCCTGGAAGTGGTCTGGAGAGAAAGAGACAATGCTGAATGCAACAGAGTTCATTCTTACACTGTGTCTACTTAGGGTCAGTCAACAAACTTCGTGGAACTTCAAATCATGCTGTGCAGGGAGGGCTAAAACTGACCGAGGCTGGTGGCCACTAGCGGGAAATGAGATGTATGGCCGGCAGAGGCAGAGTAAGACAGGATGCCGCTGAGGGCAGCCGCAGCAGAGTAACTGCAGGGACCAAGCTCCCCACATACAAATCCCAGCACTGCCATGGCATGGAACAGCCCCCGTGGCCTGGGGCAAGGGACTCAACTGCTCTCTGCCTCTGTTTTCTCGTCTGTAAAGTGGGATTGTGACAGCAGCACCTACCTGTCAGTGGCTGAGGAGAGAGAGGAGGAGGTATGTGAGGAAGCTCTCAGAGCTGAGCTAGGACACAGGCCAGGACATACCAAGCTGGCATTGGCACCCGCAGGTGTTATTAGAAATGGAAGCAGGTCTCCCTGAAGAGTGTAGCCAGGATTTATACTTAGAGAAGGCTGGGTGGGGTTAGGGACTGGATGGTAGATTTTGGGGTGCCAGTAGTGCAGGGTGTGGACCTCAGGCCTTTGGATGCGAGCAGGCTTGTCAGTGTTTTAGAGCACACCCTGGTGGTGGTCAGAGCCTCCTGCAACAGGGTCGTGAGATTCTCGCTGAAATGAGGAGGGGGGAGCCCCACGCAGTGGGAGGGGGACATGTGAGAAATGGCTGTGAGGGAGACAGGAAATATGATCAGTAGGAATTAATGGAAAACTACTTAAAGCACTGCAGGCCACACTGGTTAAGGTAAAACTGGACAGGTGGATGTGCATCTAAGCCAGAGCTGCATTCCTTCTTTTCCCCTTTGCTTAAAAACAGAAACAAAAACCCCAAAACGTTGGGATATGAGAAAACATAGCAATTGAGAATTAAGACTGATGGGTGTTAGATTGCAGGACTCCATGGAGGAGGATGCGAAAGAGGGTTCATGATCACAGTTCAAGTTCAAAGTCGCTGGAAATATAAACTTGTGAGCCATTTCCCTAGCCCCTTTTCTGTCATTTTAAAATGAACAAAGACATTGTTCTCTATGTGCAGAATCTAGTAACAATCTCTAATAACAACCCAGTCGATGCCTGCATGTGTGACCCAAAGCCTAAGCTGCTCCATGTGCTGGTGCCCTGCACTGCAGGCTTCTGGAAAGTGGCATCCTTGGGACCCAGCTGGGCACTCACTCACCGAATGATTGTGAATTTGATAAAGTCAGCAGCATCCAAGATCCTCTGCATGGAGCTAATTTCCAGGTAGCCAGGGGCTTTGAAAGCCACCCCCGGAGGCATGCCATCCACCACCACACAGCCGGGGTTGAACGTGATCTTCCTGTAAGGAACCTTCACTGGGAAATCCACCCCAATCGCTTCACCTGCAAAGAGACAAGCATTCAAGATGAGTCAGCTCATCCATTTAGCTTTTAAAACGAGTATTGTATTGTGTTTCAGGTAAACATTTACACAGCAGACTAGGTTCCTGTTCAACAACTTTTAGACAGCCTGCCTCTAACGTTGATTGTCACTTCCCTTCAGTGCAAGCATGCTGTTTGTTCGGTTTTCATTCCTCTAGCTTCCCTGCCCTCCTGGCCTCATCTCTGCTTTGGGACTAAATGTTGCCTGGAGCACATTACTCATGTGGTGATAGTCTTCATTTTATTACTCAGTTGAAAGGTGCTTTCTAGAAATAGTTTCAGTTCCAAGTTCTAACATTATCTGAAGGCAATACTATCGGGGGTTCCTCTTCTCTAACTGTATTGCAGTTAAGTGCTGTCGAGTCAGAAATGACTCAGAGCTGATCCTCCAGTGGGTTTTCAGAGCCTGTAAACTGTATAGGAGGAGACTATCCCACCTTTCTCCTGTGGAGCAGTTGGTGGATTTGAACCATCTGTCTTTGGGTTGGCAGCAGAACTCCTTACCCACTAGGCCATTTTCGGGAATTTGAACTCTAGTCTACATTTTTCTCCCCTTCTATCCGGGAACTTCTGTTGTGCCCCCTGATCGGAATGGTTGGTAGTGGTAGCCGGGCACCATCTAAGACTTCTGGTCTCAAGTGTTGTCTCTTACTTTTGCCAAGTTGTGCTTTATATTTAATGTCAAGATTCTACAACCTTTCAGCACAACTGACACACTGGTGCTCAGCCGGGATGACTGACTTCCCAGCAGGTCTAGGATGCATAGACATCACTGGACCATCCATTTGGAAACTGGCAATGTGGAGCGGACTCAATTTCTTCATCCATTAAAAGACGATTACAGTATCTGCCTGAAGTCTCTGATGACTGAACAAAGAAACCCTTGATCATGGTAAAACCTCAATAAATCAAAACTAGTAAAACAATTGCAGCAGTATTGTAACTGATGAGGGTGTCTATGTGAATGCTCCCCTGTAAAAATTCCTATAGCCCAGATTTGACTACAGCTCCTTCTCAGACAGGTCAATTCCTTACAGGTCGTTGTTGTCGTCATGGGTCATCGAGCTGACTACAGCTCACGTGAACCCGAAGAACAACAGGTTTGAGCCTCTCCCTGTCACGCACAATCCTCACCATCTCTGCTATGTTCAAACCCATTGTCACAGTCACACTGTCAGCATTCAACTAAATGGAGTACTTCAAGTGCACCAAGCATGTTGCCGGAAGGGAGCAGTCCTTGGAGAAGAACGTCATGCGTGGAAGGGTGGAGGGACAGCGCATGAGATAAAGACCCTGGACGAGATGGACTGACACAGTAACTGAGGCAGTGGGGTCAAGTGTGTCACAGGCAGCGGGATTTGCTCAGCACAGGACGGAGTTCAGGGCTATTGTGCAGAGAGGTTGCTATGAGCTATAGGCAATATGATGGCACATAACAACAACAACAACATGAACTAATGATACAGCAACTTAACATTTTCCTTTTTTTAAAATTTTTTATTGTGATTTTAATGAAAGTTTACAGAAAATTTGGATTTCCATTCATTCACTGTTGCATATTTTCCTCCCTTCCCGCCCCGGTTCACTTTTCTCTTTAAAAAATTCATTCATTTTTGCAAGCTCTGGTGGCCTAGTGGCAAGAAATTGCACTGCAATCCCAGAGGTGCGCGGTTTGAATCCACCAGATGCTCTGCTGGAGGAGGGACAATCTCCTCCTGTACCTGTCAGATCTGATTTGATGCTAAACACACAATAATAATAATTTAAAAAAATTTAAATTAAAAAAAATTCATTCATTTTGCACGCAACTTACCAAATTTTCGGCTGAAGAGCTCGTTGACTTGCTCTCTCAGCTGCTTAATCTTTTCAGCATTTGATAATTTTTCCTTCTCACCATCTAAAAAGAATCAAACAAACAAACACAACGGAATTACTAATGCATTTTCCTTGAAGAAAGTGATTGGAAGAGATTCTGGGAAAGCATTTTGCCTAGCTGATTATTCAGTTTATTTGTGCTGGAAATTTGCATACGGAAACTATTATTGCCAACAAAGAATTCCCAAATGATAACTCTCTGTAAAAATACTATTTTAGGAGGGTGGGAGGGGAAAAAAAGAACACCATTTTAGGGAACATTTTTAACATTATGCATGAAAAGAATGCCCCCTGTTCCTACCACTTTCAGCACTGTACTGGAAATGCTAGCCAATGCAATAAGACATGAAAAGAGTAAAATGTATTAGGATTAGAAGGGAATATGTTCAATCCTCTAAATGTTCATTCTCTTAAATTCTGAGAAATTAAAGCAATGGTAGAAAGTTCAGCAGGAATGAAACAGTGCATAGTGAAATCTCTTTCATCTCTGATCCAGCTCTCAGTTTTTAATTCCTGGAGAAAGAGTGCTCTCTTAGATTTCTTTGTATTTTCCTGGATATATTCCACACGCACATATTCAGAAAAGAAGACTACTTCAAGATGGGCAGCAAATGGGAGTCTCTCCTGAGGCCAATTCCAGTTCAATGGTAGCTGGTGTTGATTTTTAGACGATGCTGGAGTTGTGGTTGGGAGAAGTATTCACCTTGTCGGTGGGCCGGATTTCACCACGGCAGCCTGCAGTGTATTTCATATTCTGAACCACAGTTCACCTCAGGGTGAGCCAAGCAAAACCTAACACCTCCAACGTCCTAAAGCATGTCAGAAGAGTTAAGACAAAACAAAAAGTATGAAATAAATGATGACAAGTCTGAGAAATCTCCATACCTGGAATGGCCACCTGAACAATGTTGAGATCTTCAACGCTCGCTGTAGAATTTACCATCCCAGGTGGCTGTGTGCCTCCTTAAAACAGAAAGCCAAGCTTAGGATTTATAGAAAAGAAAGCTAAGTCCTTGAACAAAGAATGTCAGAGTGCCACTTGGACCAAAGCCCCAGACTGAATCAGAATTCTGGCAATTAAGAGAACACTTAGCTGCAGGGTGACAAGGTGGTCTGACTTTAATTGACAGGACACAGTAGCTTTTACTTCTCAGCTCTGGTGGCTTAGTGGCAAGGAACTGCACTGCCAATGCAAAGGTACGTGGTTCAAATCCACCAACTGCTCGGTAGGAGAAAGTTGGGCAGTCTCCTCCCATGTGATTTACTACTTCTGAAAATCCACTGAAGGGTCAGCTATGGTCAGTTCAAACTCAGAAGCAGACAACAACAACAGCCCCAATTAGAGTCTTTAGTGGAGCAAATGGGTAACACACTTGGCTGTTAATGGAAAGGTTGGAGGTTCAAGTCTATAGACTATAGAAAGGTGCCTTGGAAGAAAGTCCTGGTGATCTATTTCTGAAAAACCAGACACTGGAAACTCTACAGGCTGCAGTTCTACTCTGACACCTGTGAGGCTGCTATGATCAGAACCGATAAAGGGAACTGTACTAGCAAGACCCCAGTCAGTTTGATTTCACATAAAAAAGAAATGTGTTAAAAAGTGTTTCTTTACTGATACTTCCAGTTAAAAAAAATAAGATGCATATAAGTCTTAGAGAACATGGAAGCAGTCGACCTCCTGTGATTAACAGGCTCAGGTCTGGCTGACCAGTGAAAGCACAAACGGCATAATCATGTTTTCCGGTCAAAGGATAAATACAATCAATAGTCAACACAATAGAGTTAAGTCAAATGTGAAAAACGGAAACAGGTCCGTCGGCTTGTGTCTGAGGATCTCAAAGCCCCAGCTGTATGCTCTGCAAATATTTGGCTTTGAGAGGCTGCACACAGTGAGAAGTTAAAGGCAGAGTCCCCACAGTTCATCAGGGTCTCCTGCTGTTTCCCAGACTCTCACACAGAACTGCCCACAAAGCATTTACACAGCCCCTCAGCTCCCAACAGCGCTGCGGAGGTTGGCACGCCCTCTCACAGAGCCCATCACTAACCCACACTGTGTCCCTAATAGGTAAACAGGAGTTCAGGGGCACTGCAAATGGTTTAGTGTCAAACGGTGAATAGCTTAAACCCAGGCAAAAGTGCCTGGGAAGAAAGGCCTGGTAATCTGCTTCTGGATGGACAATCTCCTCCTGTGTGATTCATTGCCTTTGAAAACCTGCTAGAGGGGCAGCTGTGGGCCATCTGACCCTCCGGCACACAACAACAACAACAACAATAACAAAAGAGAGCAGCCTTTCCCTGTCCTGCAGCATCCTGACCTCTGACCTGCCTGAGCCCCTGCCCCCAACAGTTGAAGTCACGGGGACAATCCCTCCTGTTGGAGGTCTTCCTTCCCTTCTCGGACCCTCCACCTTTTCCAGCATGAAGTCTTTGGTAAGGATGAAACCACAGCTCTGGAGTGAAAGGCGGAGTGAAAGGGTCGCAGACACTAACCTTCCATCTTCACCTCGGCTTTGGCGTCCTCGTTTGCCTCTGTAGGGGCCGGTGGGATCAAACCTTGAAACACAGAAGTTCTAGGATGATATTCATTATTAAGTATTCTCCTGCTCCAATATTTTGGGGCCTTTAGACCCAAAGAGTTTATTATCCTAAAGCCAACTGGAATTTTAAACCTATTTTACACTTAACAAACAAAGTAATTTTTAATTTTTAAAAAGGATGAGGGAAGATAAGGAACATTCTGATACTGTCAAAGAATACAGTTCCCATACGCACAGGAACAGAATCGCCTCAGTGTGGGCTGTGGGATTCAGGTGGTCAAAGGGTGTTCCTGTTGTTACCAGGAATATTGTTAGGGCTACTTAGGTGTTAGTGGGCTATGACTCAGCGACCCTACGAACAACAGACCCAAACCTGGCCCTGCTGCGCTCTGCTCCGTTCTCACAGTCACCGCCAAGCTCGAATCCACTGCTGTAGTCACATGTGAAGCCATTTCATTAACTGACCAAGGCTGGAGAGGCTTGACCTTTGGGTCGGCAGCACCCTGAGGATTATGCCACCAGAGCTCCCTTGTCCTAATGTCACCCAGGTTCAATCTCTGGGGGAACCTGAGGGAAGGCACAGCGGAGCTCTCCTTTGTCTTTGGCAACTTTCTACGTCTCATATACTTTGGTCATGTTGTTTGCAGAGGCTATTCCTTGGAGCGGGACATGATTCTTGGAAAAGTGGAGGGGTCAGCAAAAGAGGGGAAGAACTTCAACTAAAGAGACCGGCACAGTGAGTACAGCAATGGGCTCAAATGAGTCAGAGATGCTGGCCAAGGATAGAGTTCAGATCTGCTGTTCATAGACTCACTGAGTTGTACTCAATGGCACCTGATACCAAGTTACCAGAACTCCCTTTCCAACTCATATTTGTTTAAAAAATATGGATGTGAAAAAAAAAAAGGTAAAACAATAAATCACCTCCAAAAACAAATTCAGTTCTATTGTCAATGAACTTCCCACTGCACTGTGATAATAAAGTCTTCCAAAGTGAAGCATTTTCAAGGAAAATATCCAATAAAATAATTTAAATGCCATTTCTTCAACTGCCTTCTAAGCAAAATATCTTGGTTCTAAATACTGTCTGTATTTTTTCAAATAACCAAGTGATCAATATCTTAACAATCTCCAATAAAAGAGAATAGTATGGTTTGAAAGAGAAATATATTTAAGCAGAACTTGGAAAGATTGCCCCATACCTCACCTGAAAGAGGTCAAAGATTGAGCTGAATGAGAAGGAAAACAGAAAATAAAAGGACATTTTGCAAAAGCTTGGTCAACCTGCCTCATTAGCGTGTACGCAGTTAAGTTCAAGACGCCTGACTCTATGAACAATAGTAGAAATGGGCTGAGCCTCTTTCTCTGGGTAAGTCCTACCCACAATCTCCTGGGGCAGTAGGGATGGCTGGCATGTTGGAACCATGCTCCCTGCAAAGAACTCCAGCACCCAGATCCGAACAGCTACTCAATGCACCCCCTGACTTCATCGTGTTGGTGCTAAAGCACACAATTCCTAAATGCAAGATAATCTGGCCTGTAAATTGGCCCAGATGGTGCACACCTCCAGATTTAGACAGCAAATCTTCTTCCGTTTTATCTTGTACATGAGCCAGTTTGTGAGCCCTGAGGGTGTAGTGTGTACTAAGCTGCTAAAGGAAAGGTTGGTAGTTCTAATCAACTAGCCGCTTCAGTGAGACTGTTTTCTCCTTTCCCCAGAGCTAAGGCTTTAATTAGGATCCTTGAGATTTATAGATGAATGGAGAGAACTCATTATCTAGTTTCACTTCCAACTCAAGAACATCCTAAAATACCATTCAGCTTTGTCCACATGAATCCTGGCATGCTACCCCAGTAAGAGAGACAGTAACAGGCAACACTGGTGAGGGATATCTCAGCACTGAGGGCTCAGCCTGGTCCTTCCTGTGCCTCGCTTACCACCCAGGACAGTCAAAGGGTCCTCAGCACCACACTTCAGCTGAGGACTCGGCCAGTGTTTATTAAAGGTGTGTGCTCTCTGTGAAATATGGTAAATTAACCAACACTTTTTACCTTCCACTGGCAACTCCATCTCTACTGCTTCGTTGCTGGAGGCAGATTGGTGGCTTCCTAAAAGGAAAAGAAGCAGAGTCTGCAAAAGGCATAGACACTAATCAACACAAACAAAAATGATGCAGAACAATTTAAACAATTAGCACAGAAAGGAATACAGAGTAATTATTTTTAAATGGCAGTATAAGAGATGCCCAGTAAACATATGTGAAATTTTTCCTTTGCCTGTTTTTCTGATGGGTAGAAAATAAAGACTTGACATGCGCACAACTTTTGGGGAAGAACATGGTTCTTAAACAGGATTACCTTGCAAATTGTATTGATAATAATTTGGGTCTTCTGATTCCTTCTTGACGGAGACGGCTGCTGTCTTCAGTGGAACTCCTTGAGAGGCAAAAAAAGAAACATGAAATGATGTGTGAAGACAAATGGACCAATGGGGACACAGCTTCAGGTTCTGCTTTGAGTCACAGGCAACATTACAACCAGCAAAAGAACCTGTCACTTATTTGCTAGAACATTCCTGACTTCTTAGTATGGAGAGAGATTCTGATCATATCTTACTAAAAAGATCTTACTGCGTCGAGTTGGAAGAATTATAGCTGATCCTCCAGCACGTTTTCAGAGACTATAATCGCATGCCCATCTTTCTCCTGTGGAGCAGCTGGTGGATTTGAACTGTCTGCTTTGGGTTGACCGCGTAACTCCCTAGAAACCAGGCTGCCAGCAGTACCTGATAATATCTTAGCATCTAGTAATTTCTGACTTAGAAGCTTCTGTTGTCTAGATACCTCAGTAAAATGTGATTTTCTTTTTTTTTTTCCTGAGTAAGGCTCCATGGAGGTAAATGAATGTTCTAGTCCCTTTGCAGTCAAACAAAAGGAAGGAGTCCAATGATAACCTATGGGACCCATGGTTCAGAAGGTTTCCGTACATACCAGAATCTTCTGTGGGCTCAGTTTTCACTCTGGTGGGGCCACAGCTGAAAGGAGAAGGCAACCTGTTCACGACAGGTAAGTTGAGAGTGACCACAAGTACCAACGCAGTGCGTTTGAGGGCCCCCATCTCCTCAAACCACCTCAAGGTCAACATTAACTCTGAACAGTCTGCTGTGGAATTGTTCATTGAAAACAGTCTTACAGCTCTAAGCACTCACGTGAAGAAAGAAGGGAAAGAAGCAAGCTTAGCATCCTAACCCGTCACACAGGATTCCCTGTGACATGGGCACCAGGCCACCTCCGCATAGTCTGAACTCTCCCTCTCTGTGGCTGGGGGACGATTTTAGTCCTTAGTGTCCAGGTGTGGTGTCAAGGGCTTATTGTTCAAAAATGGCTTTCCTAGTCATTGAATAACTGTTTTGTGATGACGTCTATAGTGTATTGAAGAGATAGGAGTAGGGTAGGATACAAGCCCCATCCTACTAGAGGCCCCTTGAAGCTCAGTGCTGTGCTCCTTTGGGATATTAACCCCCCCAGGACACAGTATCCAGCTGCAACTAACAGGCCACAGGATCCTGACCCATCGCTCAGAGTCTATGAAACACTGGCCTGCATCACTCACGGTGATGTCATTTCCCAAATGGCTGTGAGTTCCTGTGAGCCCTTCCAGCGAGCCACAGAACCCAGGGACACTGAGGTGTGGGGGGCTGAATGAAGGAGGCGCTATCAACGTCGAAATCATGGAGTGGGACAACTGAGCAAACACGGGGGGGACGACTGCCGGCTTCTGTCTTTTGGTAACTGGTCATTTACGTTGAGTTGGAACCGAGCCGCAGCTGACCCTCCGATGGGTTTGCAGAGGCAGTAAATGGCACAGGATGAGACTGTTTCTCTTCCTGCGAAGTAGCTGGTGGATTGAAACTGCTCACTTTCAGGACTGCAGCATGGCTTCTTAGTGCTAGACCACTAGAGCTCCCGTTTAATAACTAGTCTGCTGCTAATCTTAGCAGAATAGATTGCAGATACTTCTCGGGAGAGCCCTTTACCTTTCACCTGGAGAGATGGCAGCTCTTTCGGCTTCTGTAACCATCCCATGACTTCCTGTGCATGAATAAAGACACATAGGTGCTGATTTTAGAACCCTGGATACAACAAACACGTCAAAGGCCTGTCGGCATATAAACTGGGTGCTCTCCTCAACGGGGAGACAAAAAAAAAAGTCAAACTGCATTAGAAGCACCCAGGCTCATACTTTTACTAGGGAAAGCAGGGCTGGTTTAGCAGCTATGCGTGGCCATGCTGGAGTTGCCTCACTTACCTGGTGGATCCCTGGGCTCCCGGAATGGCCTGGAAAAGAGCGAGACTGTGAGTTAGCCAACGGGGGGCCCCCAGAGGATGTGCAGGTACACACACACACACACACACACACACACACACACACACACACATTTATAAACTCCACTTCCTATCATTTCGCTTTAACATTCACACTAGTTCTCCATAATCTGAAGAGAACCCAAGTGGATCTTTGCTTTCATGGGTCTGAAAACAAAACCAGCGTCTAGTGAGCTGCTGACAGGCTGAGAGCATCCCAGCAAGGAGGGTGGAGGCAACACGCTCCTCCCCCGGGTACTTTCAGCATCCAGCCCTCCAGGCCTTCAACTGTGCCTGGACACTGTACATCGGTGTGAAGCTAGGAGTATCACAGCCGTGAAAACACACTGGAAGGCCGGCTATGAGTCAGTTCTGACATGACAGTAATGAGTGAGTAACAGGGGACAGTCAATAAACAAATGAAAAGGATGCGGCCAGTCTTTCTTTACATGGCCAGATCATGCCACCTGTTTACGACGAACGAAATCCCTGCTTTGTTCTCCAGAATCCACTTGAGGGTTGTGAGGCTGTAATTCTTGGGGTGTTTCAAGGCGACGCCTTCAGGGAGGCCGTGCACGGCCACTGCCGCCTGGTCTCGGAGCATCTTCTCGTAGGGCACAGGAACCATCGCTGCCGTGCCAAGGGCTCTACCTGCAAGCGGGGGCAGAGGTGGTGTGAACACAAGCATGTACTTACACGTGGGGACATGTGGCTCTGAAGACACACAGGGACCGGACATTCCCGTCCCTCTATGTTGTTGCTGTTGTATGCCACAGAGTCAGAACTGACCCATAGTTGACCCGCCAGCAGATTATCAGAGGCAGTAAATCATAGGGGAGCTGACTGTCCACCTTCCCACGGAGCAGCTGGTGGATTTGAACCACAGGCCTTTGGGATTGCAGTACACACAGTTTCTTACCAGTAGGCCACCTGAGCTTCCGTAATTCCTAGATATGCCGCCAAAACCCAAATAGACAGCTGTCCACTTGAGTCCAGACCACGGTGACCCTCCATTGAGTGTCTGAAGCTGTAAACGTCATGGAAGGAGACGCCCTAAGGAATAGCTGGTGGGTTCAAACTGCCAGCCTTTCAGTTAGCAATCTGACACGGTACACACGGAGCCACAAGGCTCCTTCCTATAATTCAAGTTAATAAAATTCCAGACCAGAAGGTCAAAATAGAAAACTTTACACGCTGTTCTATTTTAAAATATTCCCCTAAAATGAGAAAAGACTAAGTCTCTGACTTTCTTGGTGGCTGGATGATTTGGGGCTCCCTTTGGGCCATCCAGACCTGCACAAGGGCCCCCTCACTTGGTGTCCCAGGTAGCTATCTGCAGAAGACAGGGGTCTCCACCCGAACTTCACTGTCCCTACATCACACCACACAGTTAGGGCCACAGTCCTGTGTCAGCAAATAAACCCAGCGTCCAGTCACTCTCCCAAGTTCCTGCCCATCTACACTGGCTGACGAAGCGTGTGGTGCTGGAGGCCCACTTGTCACAGAAAAATGGAGCCTGAGACCCAGGATCCCCTGTGCTGAGGATCCCCGAAGTCAAATGCTCACAGAGGCCTGTGGGTGACATGACTGGGTGAAGCTGCATAGGAACGGGGCACCAGGCCCCACACGCAAAGGTGCTTCTCCTGTCCCTGATGTGACACCAGGGTGGTCACTGAGTGACCTTGCTTTCAAAAGTCAGGAAGCAGGTGTGTGAAAACATGCGGGGGACACTAGAGCCCTAAGAGCTCACTCCCGCAGACAAGCAGTGGTCATGGAGATGGCTGGTCTGTTGTAAGATCGCTGGAGGTGGGTTCAATGGCAGCTGACAGGCACAAGAGCCACTTTCAAAACACTTAGCTCTAAAAAAAAACCCCACTTAGCTCTGATTCAATGAAAAGACTCTGCAGGTACCTTTATTTTCTCTGTTTTTAATCCCTTTCTGACCAGCGGGTGGGGAGAGAGGGAAGGGGCAGGTGTTGACTAAACCAACAGAGTAAATCTGCAGTAACTTCAGCCCTGCTCTGAAGTCCCCAGCCCGCAAACAAGGAGTGGATCTATTGCCTATGGAAGGTCTGATAGATCGTAAAAGATCAAGATGGTTTCTGGAAGAATATTGTTCTGGCTGGAGAAAACACTGAGGTTGTCAATGATTTCATTTTTCTTTGATCCACCATCAACATCCTTGGCACCTAAGAAATCAAAGACAAGTTGCACTGGAAAAATCTGCTCTCAAGGACCGCTCCATAGTATTAAAGAGCAACAATAGGGTTTTGGTTGTTTTTTTAAAAAAATTTATTATTATTATTATTATTATTATTAGTGTGTGTACCATCAAATTGGATGACTGGTACAGGAGGTGTTTGTCCCTCTGTCTCCAGCAGAGCATCTGGTGGATTTGATCTGCATGCCTCTGGGATTGCACTGCAGATTCTTGGCACTAGGCCACCAGAGCTCCCTAAGCAACAACAGTTTAAAGACTAAAGTGTGCCTGATCCAAATCATGATCTTTTAATTGCTTGCTATGATTGGAAAGTTGGACAATGACTAAGGATGACAGAACTGTTGACTTTGAGTTATGGTGTTGGAAAACGGTACTGAATATCGCATGGATCACCAAGAGAACTAACAGATCTTTCCTGGAGAAAATGAAACCAGAGTGCTCTGTGGAGGCAAGGATGGTGAAATTCCATCTTACATATTTAGGACACTATGCTTGGAAAAGTGGAGGAGGGTCAGCATGAGAGAGAAAGATTTTCAACAAGATGAAGTGACACAGTGACTGTACTGAACTTGAGTGTGTTAGGGTAAGGGTGGCACAGGAAAGAGCAAAGTTCAGCCCAGTTGTTCACAGGGTTGGTATGAAAGGTAGTTGACTCAATTATACCTAACAACAACACTGAAGACCTAGATGTTCACGTTATAACCATGTAGATTTTAGCAGCAAATATACAGGCAGGCAGACAAGGCACACAGATAGAGGTGAGTGAAAGGGACTACAACCATGACCATATAGCAGGAAACATTTTCAAAAATAATGTGGAATTTAAAACATTAGAAGCATTTTAAGTTGTTAAAGCCAAAACCCCAAATGCCTCAGCTTACTGCTATTAAATCGATCCAGGCCCACAGTGTCCCTTCAGGACAGAGCAGAACTGCCCACGGCATTTCTGAGGCTGTTAAGATGGAAGCAGACTACATCATCTTTCTCCTGCTGAGAGGTTAGTGGGTTTGAACCACTGACCTGGAGGTTAGTAGCTAAGTGTGCAAATCGTTGTACCAGTAAGATCACGAGCAGCCCTGCCAGGCTGGTCACTGAGTTACTAGAGCAGTGGTCCGGTGGCGCGCTGTAACAGAGGTGCCCACCGTAACAGAGGCCGAAGTAATCTTCCACTGCCTTCCGGAGGATTCCTGCCTCCCCAGAGTCGGCCTGTGTCCCCTCCTCATGGCCTGGGGGCTTCATCTCCAGCAGCTCGTCCCCAACACCTGTGGACAAACGACAGGCCAAAGTCAATGCCCTCGGTCCTTCCTGTCTACATTTCTTTACTGAAAGGAGAAAAGAAAGAAAAAGGAATATAAACAAAACAAAAAAGCACTGCCAGCTGATTGCTTCTGATTCATGGTGCCTCATCAACAGTTTCCATCTTTGCAGAGGAGCCTGTCCAGCGCTCTTCCAGGGAACAGCTGGTGGATTTGAACCAGTGACCTTTCAGTTCAAAGCACTACCAGAGCTCTTCACAAGTAAGATTTTTTTTAAAAAGGAATTTACTACATCTCACAGGATAATGTGAGATGCGAGCCCTTGGAGTGAATGTGTTGATGAAGAAGTCAACATACAGGGAACAATGAGAAGTTGTAAACAATTTTTAAGTTGTACTGGTGTTGTTGAGAATGTACATGGGACACAGACCAATATTCTTGCATGTGCAATTCAGTGTCTTATTTGGTGACAATTTTCACGTTGTTACCACCGTTCTCATCCTCTTTTATACTCTTCCCCACTAACAGAGATTCATGTCTTCAGCTTCAAGTTGCTGTGTGCAACTTGCTCTGTCTCAAAAAAACTCAAATTCATTGCCAAGAAGTCGGATCTAATCACAGATGACCCTGCAGATTTTGGAGGCTGTAAATATCACAGGGACAGGTTGCCCATCTATCATGGAGTCGAGTGTGAATTTGAACTGCCAGAGAGATGTGGCCTTTGGGTTAGGAGCACAACTTTCTCCAGACTATGCCACTAGCTTTGTCTTCTCAAGTTGCCCTTTGAAATTGTCTGTTTAGCTCTTTTTACTTTGGCATGTTTCCCCTCTGTTTAGGCTTCTCAACGCTCTAGTACAATTTTCAGAGTCTCTTCTGAAATCCATTTCAGTTTATTTCTCTTCTGTCTTTGTAATGATCTTTTACTTTATTCATGGATATCCTCGATATTGTCCCATAACTCATCTGGTCTTTAATTATTGCTTCAAATCCATTCTCAAGATGATCTTTGGGGGGCTCTGGTGCCATAGTGTCAAGAATCTGCACTGCAATCCCAAAAGTGTGAGCTGGAATCCACCAGATGCTCTACTGGAGGATGGGCAATCTCCTCCTATGGCAGTCGGCTCCACCATACACAAGAAAAGCAAAGCTAAGATAATCTTGAAATTCAGATAGAATAGATTCAAGATCATATCCTGGTTCTTCTGGATTTTTTTTAAATTTTTTACTAGTTTATTTACAAAATTCAAATACATTGTTTTCAAGAACAAATTCTTTCAAATTACCTCACCTCCCCCCATCAAATTGTATAAACCCATGATTAATTCCCCTGTCCCTCCCCCCACATTCTCATCCCTCTACTTCGACCCTCTTTCATCCCTCTTGGATAGTTATACTCATTCTACAATAATGGTTTTATACAATTTTTATCTTTGTGGGACAGTTCACTCAGGAGAATGTTCACCAGTCCATCCTAAATTGGGTAATAATTTACAAAAATCATTGCTCCATATGACCCAGCTATCCACTACTTGGAATATACCCTGAGAAAATGAGAACTGAGGCACAAACTGAGATTTATACACCAATGTTCATCACAGCGTTATTCACCATCGCAAGAACATGGAAACTGCCCAAATGTCCAACCACAAACGAATGGATTGGGAAATCATGCCACATTCACACAGTGGAATACTACGCAGCATGCAGGAGCGATGCTTTTGTAAATGATTTTCATTTTCTTCAGCATCAATGTGAATTTATACGAGTAATTGCTTTGACCCACAGTCTGGACCTAGGCTAGTTGGAGCTTCTCTAACCATTTCTTTCATAGATGTGGTCAGTCTGATTCCTATGCAGTCCATCGGGTCCATGTGCAAAGGTCCAGGTGTACAGCCGTCATTTGTAT